CCTCAGCTGCCAAGTGGGAGGAAAATGCAGAGTCATCACAGACCCTGGATGACATGCTTGCTGTTCTGTAGATGCCAAACAAGACCCTTGTCCCTCGCCCCAGCCTCTCTTAGACATTAGATAGAGCAGGACGTTGATTTTTAATAAGAAAGCACACTGGCACTGGGCATTGGAGTTGGGTTGTCTGCTCTGCGGTGGTGGTGGTGGTAGAAGGGCTGTGTAGGGTCAGTGATGGCTCCACAAATTGTTGATGCTGATGCTGCTCTTTCTGTGTAGCCGCCTTGCTGGCTAGGTCCTTGGTCTTCTCTGTAGCTGCCAGTGCTGTCTCTTTTGCCTTTTTCTTGGCTTCCTTGGCAGTTTCAACAAGTGTCTTAGACGGGGCTTCACTTTGTAGCTTGGCCAAGATGTATTCAAAACCCTTCATAGTCTTGGTCAGGTTCCTTTTAAACCGAGCCAGACCAAGTTCCTGGACAGCTCTGGAGACACTGGACAAGTTAGAGGAGACCTAGGCATCTCCGCAGATTTCAGTCCAACCACTGTTATCAGATCCACACAGTAAACACAGTGTTCCTCCACCACCATCAGCCAGGCAGCGTTGATGTTCCATGTGAAGGTGGTCATGGTCTCCAGGATGGACACCGACTGAGCAACATGGGCAGGAAACAGTCGCTCAGCCCAGCAGGGCATGCTGTTGGTCTTGGTCAGGAGTCTCGGGGACAGGACTTTCTGGTCAGGGGTAACCTCCCGGTGTACTGTGTCTTCCATCAAGACACGCTTACTGTAGGGATTCAGGTACGGCTGCCAGAAGGCAGCTAACACTTGGTCCCGGGAACTCAGACCGGAGCACGCTCTGGCCCAGGAAATATTTCACTATTGTCCCTGACGTGAAGGGCTCTGCAACCGTAAAGCCTGGGGTTGCAATACTTAAGGGTGCTATGGGCTGAATGTTGAATGACCTAGGAAGCATTCATTGTTGACCTTTTCAAAGAACCAATTCCTGGTCTTGTTGATAGTTTCATATTTTGTTTTGTATTGTTTTCTATTGTATTCATGTCTGTCCTAATGTTTCCTTTTTTTCTGTCCTAATTTTATAATTTTCCTTCTTTTAGAGGTTGCCAGGATTTTTTTGTTCTTTTTTCCTTTGATGGAGATGTTAGGTTAAATAATCAATTATTATATTTTCTTCCCTTTTGGTGTGTTTGCTTATTGCTATGAGTTGACCTAAAAAGTACTGCTTTTGCTCTATCTAGAGGTTTTGGTAAGTTGTATTTTAATTCTCATTTATTTCAAGAAACTTTTTCTTTTTCTATTTCTTCTATTACACAGTCATGTTCAAGCAAAGTGTTGTTCAGCTTCCAGGTATATGGGGTTTTTCCTTCTTTGTCCTCTTGCTGGTTTCTAATTTTGCAGCACTGTGCTCTGACAAAATGGTTTGTATTATTTCTGTTTTTTAATTTATTGAGGCTTGCTTTGTGACCTAAATTACAATCTATTCTGGAGAATGTTCCAAGCATATTGGAAAAGAATGTATACTAATCTTTTTTTGAAATGCAGTAGCCTGTATATTCCTATCAGATCGAGTTGGTTGATTGTGTGATTTAATTTTTCAACATCTTTGTTGAGGTTCTTTCTGGTAGTTCTATCTTTCCTTGAGTGTGATATATTGAAGTCTCCTACTACAGTCAACAACAAAATCTTTTCTCTCTTCTTCTTGTGTACTGTCGAATCAGATCCGATTGGCACAGAAGGAGATTGTCCCTCCTCCAGTGGACCATCTGGTGGATTCCAACTGTGAGCCTTCAGGATTGCAGTGCAGCTCCTTGCCACTAGGCTACCAGAGCTCCCTCAACAAAATCATTTTGTGCATAGATATTATGGTTATGTCCTATTAACCTTTTAAGCATTATATAGTGTCCTTCCTTGTCCTTTGTGATAGCTTTTATATTGCAGCCTATTATCAGAGATTAATATTGGCTACTCCTGCTTTTTTTCTCGTTACCATTTGTTTGTTTTTTCACTCTTTGATTTTTAGTCTGTCTTTATACACACTTTTAAAATGTGTCTCTTGTTGACAACATATTGATGGCTTTTGGTGTTTTTAATCTAATCTGCTACTCTTTTTGTCAAGGAACTGAAGAACAGATTCAAACCTAGAGTTGCTGTAATCAAGGATGCTTTGGGTAGAATATTAAATGATTCAGGAAGTATTAAAAGAAGATGGAAGGAATATACTGAGTC